GACCGAAACGTCCGACGTTGACATTAAATATTAAAACAGCATAATCGCATATTAGGATTTTTGTTTGTTTTTTCAGTATATTTTTCTTCATACTGTCGGATCTATATCCATATATTTGCTTATATATATATATAATAGCTGTCCACTCATATTCGAGGATACCCAACTAGTAGGGTGGCTAGCCAATCCTTATTGTAGATACTCACTCAGGCAGATTAGTGTTTGCTCAACATCAACAGAGCCCACCTGTAGTTTATACTGCAACTATACTGTGCAGACCTTAGTTACAGTTTCTGGGAAAGAGTGTGTTATCTAGCGTGGTCAACAATTTGAATAAAGCCAGCATACTCAAGTCGTCGGTCATGATGACTTGTGGCTTCATCCACAAGAGTTCTGTCTACCCAATTTCACTCACAAGGCTTGGGTCAACCCATGGTATGGTTTTTAGGCACTTTGCAAAGGTGCTTCACACTGGGATCAACATCAATCCAGTCCGATAACATCAGGAAGTCATCTTCCTGGTGGATCTACCATGGTGAGATTCAAACCCTGTTCTCCTGGTCACAATGCCACTCAGCCATACACCCCCATATATATATATATATATATATATATATATAATACACATACACACACATCTACTCTCTCTAATGTTTCTCTCTCTCTCTCTCTCTCTTTCATTGGAAGTATTGAAAGGGAGGGGGTTAATCTCCTTTCTTTCTCCACATTGGAGACCCAAGTTTGGAATCCGGTCAAGCTTGTTACATTCCTTTACGTGCACATGTCCTTAGGAAAGTTTTGAGTCCATCTCTTCTCACCCTAACTACAGATTAATTAGTAGGATTTGTTTCTGGAAAAATCATAGTTATCTCCCAGAAAAAGAAAAAAAGATAAGCCTTAATGGGTTGATAGACTGTAAAAAACAGATCAATTAATCAATTTCTTTCTCTGCTGTTAAGACCCAGTTATGACTTAAGATATATATATTTGCATGCTCAAAATGCAAAGGATCGTATAGATGCTAGTAACAATTAACTTATCAGTTAATAGCCAAAGTCCACCTGCTTGTTTCATCAATACCTTCCCAGTGCAGCTGGGGAAAGTGATTTGTGGGGATGGTAGAACCTTATAATATAATTTTTTTTCTTCTTTTCATAACTCTTTATTTACAGTTTCTTGTTGTTAATGGAATACGTATGGGTGTGTCTCTGTATATATGTTAATGAACCAGAGATAATGACTTGCAACATGTGTTTTGTTTTGTACATTTGTGTGTTCGTGTATATGTGTGTGTGTATATATATATATATATATATATAAATAAAAAGAAAGAACAGTAAGATATAAAATCCGGTGTTAACCATATTTTAAATCAATTAATTTATAATATATATATATATATAGTTTTTAAAGCTTTATTAGTAATTGTTAATGTTATATTGGAATAAAGTGTCACTGCCAACACTTGAGTTTGAACATAGATGGCCAGTGAGCAACACAGGCAATCCCATTATTGAATTAAGTAGATCATGTGACCATGGGGAAAACGCATAAGTAGAAATTTGCATGAAGTCTAAAGGATTGTTATTTCTCTTCTATCCTCTATTACTATTCAGATCACCATTTCTAGTCTATCCTCTATTACTGTACGGACCACTATTCTCCACTAGATTCACTATACGATTTCTCTTTTTGGATCACTATACGGATTACTATTTGAGCGACTATTATTAAGCAAGTACTATTAGTGCGAGTGCTATTCAAAGGTGTCTGACACCAGTATTGTTCAACGGCGTACTATAGTTGTATTTGTGATTACAAAGTCTCCACTACAACATGCATCACGAAAGTGGCAACGAGTGTTCACTGACATCACAAAAGTTAATTTTATATTAAAATCTATTAACCTGAATAAACAGTGGAGCTGACACAAAACGTTTTTAACCTGTTCTCTTTCTAGCTCGTTTTGTGTCAGCCCCACTGTTTTCTCAACTGAGCAATGATGAGAGGAAAAAGATTGTTCAGGCCTTCAGTAATGGTACCAATATTCTACTCTGGCTTCCATCTTCAAAATCCTTCAAGAGCCATCAAGAAAACAGGGAATAAGCTTAAAAAAAGGAAACAGTAGAGAGGAAAACTGAATTATGAGGTTACAACAGGAAAAGGGGTCATTAATTGGTTCAAATGAATTAACTAATATATATAGCTGCTCTTTTATCTAATTTGATATCATGGATTTTTACACCAGCATTTTCAAGGATCTTTTTACCTTAGCTTTAGAATTTGCCAAAGGTACTCTAATATTTCTAGTGAAAATCTAAATATAACAATAAACTGTAGACAATCTGTTCTCATTAACAACAATGAACAATGGCGATCACTTTGATATTTCTATGGGATTATTACATTCTGCAGAGTCTTCTGACCTAGTGGATTTATTTATCTTATATAACCTTCGCACTTATGATGTTAATGTTGATAATATAGGGTTATACAGAGATGATGGTTTGATGCTACTATGTATGTATGTAATATATATATATATATATATTTATTAAAGACATTTTTTATTTATGTTTAACGTTGTTATTTTATAGATAAACATAAATAAAATGTCTTTATAAATAAATTGTCGGACCTTGTCCATTTCTTAATATATATATATATATATATATTTAAAATCCAATTTACATAATACATATTATATAATACATTGCATAATATATAATTAAAAACACATTACATAATGTATATTATAATACTTTATACATTGCATAATATATATTTTTAAAAATTCACATTACAAAATTAGTTTGTTGTTTCACTTTCTAATATATAGTTCTTCTTTTTGTTAAACAACACTAACTCCTTTCCTTTATATATATATATATATATATATATATATATATATAAAGGGAAGAGGTTAGTTGTTTAAGCAAGAGAATAGTGTATATATTTAAAAGAGTGAAGTAAAAGCAAAATATATATATATATATATATATATATATATATATATAAAGAGGTGACAGTCTGTTTATGCTAGACCACATGACAATTGCATCTAGCATGAAACAGACTGTCGCCTCTAATTGTTGACTCAATGTTCACTCTTTTATATTTGCACATGCTCTATCTCTGATATTGAGCACTTTATCCCATAAATATAGCACACATTAAGAATGTATAATGTTTACTTACTAAAGCTTCATTGGTGAATGAAATATGGAGAAAAAGAAGAAAGAAATTTTGTTATTTTATTTGTGTTTTATTTGATTTGATTTTATTGGTTAATTATGTTTCACATGCATTTTGACTTGTCAAACAAATGTTAGTATAATTAGTGGCATTCCAAATAAAAGGAGAGACAACGCACCCATTCAAAGTTTGAAGAAATGAATGGATTTCAAGCTCAACTGAACAAACATAAATATTACTTTAGGTATGTAAGTGTATAATAATTATAGTTTGGGATTCAGATGATGATGCATATTCAAGTGTGTGTATCTATTAGATGTTATTTTTGGTGTTTCGCATGTTGATTTGGGGCAGTTTTTACTTACATGCTATTTGTTTTAGATAAACATGTTAGATTCTTTAAGAATGGATTCAATAAAAGTTGGAGATGTAACATGTTGTTTTTGATGTATGTTTATAGTTGGTGAAATTTTTATCAGGATTCCCTCAAAGTTCTTTTGATGTAACGAATTATGCTCTTTTTTAATTAGGGTGGTATTGGTAAAATCAAATTAATGGCCAGTTTTGTTCCTGTTCATTACGAGGCAGTTTGAATGATTGTCTTTATTTGATTTCAACACACACACACATATATATATATATATATGTATATGTGAAAAGTGTGTGTATATAAATATAAATAAATATATATATGTATAATTATTTATATATTATATGTGTGGTATCCCTTGCAACATTACTATCACATCATATCATATAGACCCGCTATAATTATTAAATTAAACTACCCTCTCACCCAGCATATTAAATATTAAACATCACCATATAAAATAACCAATAAGGATTACAAATTTCTACCTGTTACATATACACAGTCATCAAAAAAACAAACAAATAACCAGCTTTAAATATAACAAATAAAGCCTCCTTTTTCAAAAAATTAAAAAAATAAATATAAATAATAATAATTTTTTACCTATCATAATTTTACATAATAAACCCCACCACACGTATATACATACATCGAAGAAATTTATTCAATGGAAAAATAAAAATATGACATGTATACATTCACAAGAAATCTTCACTACACTCCTAATCTTTGAATTTCAACATACAAATGCGTATGAATAGACACAACACCACCCATATGCATACATATGTCATATCCGAAACTACTCACATGTTTATATATGTATGAGTCCCGATGGACGACCAAGTATGTATATGTGTCTGCATACATCGATGATTGCGTTAATACGATGACAAAACGACAAAGTTTCCCCCCACCACTTCCACAATAACACCAATACACACAATCTACATAAACCCAAAATTTTAAAAATTAATCAGTTTGTCTGATTTATCATTAAAAGCGTGAAACCCAGGGTCACAAACTCACATCTATTCAACAAAAATATATATATATATATATATATATATAGATAAATATTAGTAGTCTGTGTATATATATATCCAAGAGGATAAAATCCAGGTAGAGCTTTATCTACAAGACAGAGCAAGAATATAATATATAAGGCACAATTCATCAGACCTGCAAATTCCAAAAGCTTTTTGAATTTGTAGATCTGATGAATTGGATTATGTAATAAATTTTAACCATGGGATATTAGTGTTTGAGCCTTATATATATATATATATATATATATATATATATATATATATATATATATATATATATAAAATTTACTACATTTATAGAATATGGGGACTTTATAGAAGTAAACATTATTTCCCTTGTCTCACCCATATCTGTCTTTTCTTTTTTTTCCACCATCTCGCCCATGTCTCTCTTTTCCCCCCGTGTCTCCCTTTCTATCTTTTCCACAATCTCGCCCATGTGTCATTTTCTTTTTCCCCGTGTGTCTCTCTCCTTTCCACTGTCTCACTCATGTATCTTGCTCTTTCCCCCATCTTGCCTATGTCTCTCTCCTTCACTCCCCATCTCACCTATATCTTTCTCTCTTTTCCCCATCTTGCCTATGTCTCTCTCCTTCACTCCCCATCTCACCTATATCTTTCTCTCTTTCCCCCATCTTGCCCATGTCTTGCTCTCTTTTCCATTTGTCTCACTCATGTCTCTCTCTTTCCTCCCTCATGACCATATCTCTCTCTCTTTCCTCCCTCATGACCATATCTCTCTCTTTTTCCTCCCTCATGACCATATCTCTCTCTCTTTCCTCCCTCATGACCATATCTCTCTCTCTTTCCTCCCTCATGACCATATCTCTCTCTCTTTCCTCCCTCATGACCATCTCTCTCTCTCTCTCTCTTTCCTCCCTCATGACCATATCTCTCTCTCTCCCTTCTCCCTCCCTCATGACCATCTCTCTCTCTCTTTTCCTCCCCTCATGACCATATCTCTCTCTCTTTCCTCCCTCATGACCATATCTCTCTCTCTCCTCACGACCATATCTCTCTCTTTCCTCCCCTCACGACCATATCTCTCTCTTTCCTCCTCATGACCATCTCTCTCTCTCTTTCCTCCCTCATGACCATATCTCTCTCTCTCTCCTCCCTCATGACCATATTTCTCTCTCCTCTATCTTACCCATGTCTCTTTCTTTTCCACCATCTCACCCATATCTTGCTCTCTCTTTTTCCCCCTGTCTCACCCATGTCGCTCTCTCTCTCCCCCCCCTCTCCCATATCTCTCTTTCTTTTCTCAGGTTTTGTCTTTCCCTCACTATTTTTATCTTCTCACCTCTTTTTCTTGCCTACCCTCTATTTAATTCTTTCTTTTTCCCCTCTTGTATTTTTCTATTCATTGTTATCTCACTCACTATCTTCTTTGTATCTCTCTTCTCTCTATCTCATCTCCTGACCACCATTCCCTGTCTACAATTATCACTTTCACTACAACAATCTCATTCATTCTTTTTTGCTTTCTGCACAGATATTGCCAGATAATTGGGATGATCTTCAATGACATGGGATTCGATTGTGTTGTCCTTCACTCTATGATGACTCAGCAGAACCGCTTAGCTGCCCTGGCCAAGTTCAAATCCAGCCAAGTCCGCATCCTCATTGCCACTGATGTCGCCAGCAGGTGAGTTTAGCGTGCTCTCTCACCCTTCATCTATGTTTCACAGGCTCCCTATCTCCAACAGACACTGCTCTCACGTACTGTATTTAATTACATTGCCTGTTAACAAGTGAACAGTGATTGGTAATACATTGCCAAGTGAGACATGCACGCATCTTTTCAATTATATTTACCAATTCCACATTAAATGTCACCAATGATATTGTCTGTGATTCAGCCTACACGTTTGTCTTTTCAATATGAAACTCTTTGGTGCTGATTTTTAGCCAATTGTCTTCACTGTCATAATTCTAATCACACCTACTCAGTCCCAGGCAGAATTTCTCTTACACTTGCATTATCATTTATTTTAAATACAATATTTATATGAAAAATTTCTCAGAGTTAACCTGTAGAAAAAGACAATATGTATAAAGGTAAAAGACAATAGGAAAACTGTATTATTAGCCAACGCGTTTCGTCCAATGTGGACTTTTTCAATGTAAAAACAAAATGAATTTATTAAAACAAAGTAATTATTGACAACAAAACAAAATGTCCTTAGCAACTAGAAGAATTTAGAAAACGCTATTGTATTTATATTGTCAACTAAAAATTACGTCAAGTACTATCACTTGTAGAAATTTTCACTTGACAATACGAATACAATAGCGTTTTCTAAATTCTTCTAATTGCTAAGAAAAAATGCTAAAAAGTTTGGTAAAATGTTTTAAAATCTCTGGCCAGAATTTCAGTAAGTTGACAGAAAATCATGGTATAATGTTTAGAACTCATGGTAACTCAAAGAGATAATAATGACATAAACAAGATGTTAACACTCCACACTACTTTGAATAAAATGTTAGGAAGGACTCCCCACTATAAGTACTGTAAAGAGTGATAACAACTACTGGACTTGAGAAGCCTGTCTTCTTGAAAAATTGCTTTAAGAGAAAGATTTTATAAATTTCAACTGACAGTAGTACTGGCTGATCGGTCAATGAATGTTGAATGCTTCCTTGTAGGGAAATGGCTGATATTACCATTGCCATTAATGTTATGTTTTTTAGTTAGTTTTTTTTTTTACCATTAATTGTATTTCTTTTCTGTTATTATATCTTTCTTCTGGAGTTCCCTGTTGATTAATGATAGAAGTTTGTTCAGACATAGTATGAGAGATCAGCTGTTATTGACAAATATTGCTCTGTTATAATAATTCCTTTTACAGTACCAATAATTATAATAATAATAATAATGTTAAAAAATTGAAATATCAGCTCAATTCCACAAATTGCAAGCCCAAACTTGATGATTCGGGGACAGAAAGAAATCACAGGTCCAATGTAAAAAAATCCAACACACAAGCCAACAGTTACATGCCAAGAGATGAGGCAGCAAAATTAAAAACAACTCGAATTCGAGAACATCAACCTCTTTTATCAACAGACCAATTTTATTTTTCATTGGTCAACGGTTGGAGAGGACACACAATATTAGCATATCTGAGATGCATTTATGGCAACACCTGCCACTGACTAGTTTCTATTTTGGTTATTTTGTCTTTGGCATGTCACACAGAACACACTTGCCCTTTTCCTTAGTAAATGACTTTTCTTTTGCTCCCCACCCTGATCTCATTCATGATCACACTGACGTCAACTAGGGGTGGATCTTTTAAGCCTTGCGCTTATTCTCAAAAGAACAACTATCATCTCTACACCTGATGAATTGCCATCGAAAGGAACATCAAACATATTTCCACTAGGCTGAGCGTCATTTTCTTCCAAGGACATACTCAAGGCATCTCTTATTTTGATCACTCACTCATCATTAGAAAATGCTCTGTCAACATCACTTGCTGATGTGTTTGAACTGTCAAAGGTGCATAGATCCCTCACATGGTGTGGCATCCCATCAACACAAATCGCACACGGGCTTCTGATCACTGTGACACAATCCACTTGATACTGAGTTGTACATCAGTTTTGAGGGGGTTTTACCCACACACAGTCCCTTAACCCATATCCCAATCATCCATGTTATCAATACCTTGTGCCCGGACTCTATAATGGTAAATTCTATTGGTTGGATTTCACCAGCATTATGTCCACTAATAAGTCGTATTCACTGACCAGTTTTTCCCAGGTGCTGAGCCTCCTCTAAATGAGTATCTCATTTGAGGCCTGTGTGTATTCTGGCTTTTCCACCGAGTGTGTCAGACATTCATCCATGAACACATGCAGAGTCCGTAAATAAATGTAACTTTTTGCCTTCCATTGAAGTGCTACATTAGCACCTCTGAGTACAGCATCCAACTCGGCTACATCTATATGCTGAATGTCCTTTTCAGGGCACAACCAGCATGCATCCTCCACTGTATACTCATTTTTTCTCAAGGAACGCTCCAGTTGCAAAGGAACCTGCTTCAACCTATAGTTCAAAATCATGTCCATTGACACACCACTTGCCTTACACAGGGTCATCCTGGCATACTCTGGTAATGACATCCATAATCATGTTGTTGAGTGGGGGCATCTGTGTTGTAGAGTAGTTTTCACAGTGGAGGCTTGTATTTCAATGTCGTCCTAAATTAGGTTCGACGTACAAAACGTTAGGAACTTGAAATAAGAGTTAATGACGCAGCAATCTAGTTGTGATAGTTGGTACTTCAATGTTCGATATCGACTGACTTGCTCAACACCACTGAGCCCAACTGGCCACTGCTACTACTACTACTTATTATGTGTGGGAGGGTCTATTAATAATAGAATAGGTATGTCAGGTCTGACAATCTGTTAATTCATCTTCAGTTGCTCTGTGTTTCATGAAGGCGGTCACAATATAGAGCAAAGTGTCCTACTAATTTTCCACAGAGTCAAAAATTCAGTTCACATTGTTACTTTACTCCCCCACTTCCAGTACAAGGTTTTCTGCACCCCACAAACTTGCAAACTAAGCACTTGGGTACTGTTCGCCAATAGTTCCGAGTTTTTGCAATCTAAAATCAGTGAGATGTTGTCTTACGCATGTTGCCGATGTCACGTCTTTATTGACATAGATGAACACCTGTACACATCAAGTTCTCCAGACCAGCTGTAATCTTCAGCTGAGCGCCATGCTTCAGCAAAGATTTGGCCCATTAACTCAGTACCTCTCCACACGGTGGGCCTGCAACAGCTGGGTGATGTTACATTACAGCCAGTGTAGTTGGATGCAACTCAATAAGAATTTCTGGGTAATCCATGCACTGCCTTCAACCGCTTTTTTGCCACAAGTCTTTATCACTTTATTCAACTTCAGGATACCAGTACATTTGAGGAATCTCTTTAAGGAAACGGCAGGAAAACCTCTACAGCCAACCTCAATCGGCACCATGACTCATCTGTGTCCTCTCTCACAGACTTCAGCCACCAGTTCCTCATACTGAAGCAGCTTTCTTTCACAAGCCTCTTCAATCCCTTCTTCCCATGCCACCGTCAGTTCACCAAGCAACAGATGTTGCTTCTCGATATCAATTAACATTAGATCTGGCCTCAGTCCAGATACAACACCCTCTAACGGCAGTGTAGCATCAACCAACACTCTCCACTTCAATATAGGCTGGCGTGACCTGGAAAATGGGCATGTTTTACAAGTAGGGTATCCACAATGGCTTGCATTATAGCCAGTACAACATTGATCTCAAATCGCATTCTTGTCAAGCAGTATCTCTGCACCTTATAGATGATTGCTTGAAATAGCCATAGCGATTGATGCCTACATATCTGCATATATGCTTTGTGACAATCAAGCATGGAAACATTGGGTCCTTTTTTGTCCCCATTCTCCCAATTTTCCATCACAAACATCATCATGAACTGTGTACGTGTTGACATGCTCAAATGAATAATATGGAGCTGTTCTAGGTAGAAATGGTCATCTGAGGTAAAATTATAGCAGTCGTAAACTTTTGGGTATAAAATTATCTTACAGGAGGTTTTAAATTATATCTCTATCTATAAAAGGCAGGATGTGTGTGTGTGTGTGTGTGTGTAACGAATGCACGGCCACAATTTTCGATGGATTTGCACCAAAATTTACATGCATATGGTCCAAGTTAGCAAGAAAGCCAAGACTGACTTTGCATTTCCCAACTCCCATCAATAGTGGAAATAATCGATTTTTTTCATGCTTCTACGGCAGTTTTCATGTAGTTTGCGCCATTTTCTACTGGCCAGAGTGACCTATAGCTGGCTGCCACAAATAGGCAGGAAGATTCTATTGGCCAGCGTGAGAGCCAACAGCTGACTGACATGAATGTTAACTAGCATGCTAGCATGCAGAAAAAATTTAGCTGCATTCATCACAAGTGGGGAAAATTTAAATCTGCATGGCACTTTTACTCCAATTGGCTCATTTGCTTGCTTAAACTCAATGTTGATTCTGATTCCTGCAGAATTGGGTTGGGTGTGAAAAAGTATTTGTTGTTAACATTCTTTTTTCATTCAGTTTTTCCTGTTAGGAGTCCTTTTTTAAAGCTGATTATTTTGTGTTCATTTTGTTTAGTTTTTTTTTTCATAACAGATATAATGTTTAGTATAGAGCTTAGAAAAAATTTGCAGTGTGAGATAGGCAAGAAGTAAGGCATGTAGCAACATCAGCATGGCAAAGGGCACTCCTTTAAAGGCAAAGAAGGGCAAAAATATTTTGAGTCAAGTGATAGCGATTGCTGTATGAGTCATACAATTTTTGAATTAAGCACGGGCTAGTATAAAATAAACAGTGATTTGTATTTCTTAGATAGTTAATTTTTTTTTAAAAGTGCATTTTATATGCCATGAAATATATTCTGCATTAAATCATGTGCAGGTAGTGTAATAGCATGTTGGAATGGTAAATTGGAGAACTAAGTTCATAATCCAGTCAAGTTCGTTGCATTCACTTATGCTCAAATACCCTTATGAAAGATATGTATCCATCTTTTCTCTCCATATAGGACAGACTGGGCTCTTTATGGTTGGTAACCAATCTAGAAGGAAAATAGTGAATTCAAAATCAGTTGGACATGGGGGTAGAAACTCCATCCTGTAAAATCCTGTTACTATAGAAGCCCCAGTGGCAATGGATAGTATGCTGGGTGCTGTGTCCCCATACTCCTCAGGGAGTCTATAGGACTTGAATTAGTGAGTATTTGAAAAGGATCACTAAGATATTAGCATGAGACTCTATAATGTAATAATAATGTATAATAATTTCTAATCACAGAAACAACCAAAATGTACACTGACCAAAATGTACACTGTTATTATAACAAATATGATGAAGATACGCATTAGACAATTATGAAAAAAAATTCTCATCAGATAAGTATGTTGAAGAATACTCTCATGGGAGAGATAGGATGAAGAATACTCTCATTGGACAGACAGGATGAAGAATACTCTCATGAGACAGACAGGATGAAGAATAGTCTCATGAGACAGATAGGAGACATTGGACAGGATGAAGAATACTCATGAGACAGACAGGATGAAGAATAGTCTCATCAGACAGGATGAAGAATACTCTCATTGGACAGACAGGATGAAGAATAGTCTCATTGGACAGACAGGATGAAGAATAGTCTCATGAGACAGATAGGATGAAGAATAGTCTCATGAGACAGATAGGATGAAGAATAGTCTCATGAGACAGATAGGATGAAGAATAGTCTCATTGGACAGACAGGATGAAGAATACTCTCATTGGACAGACAGGATGAAGAATACTCTCATTGGACAGACAGGATGAAGAATACTCTCATTGGACAGACAGGATGAAGAATACTCTCATTGGACAGACAGGATGAAGAATACTCTCATTGGACAGATAGGATGAAGAATACTCTCATGAGACGGGATGAAGAATAGTCTCATCAGACAAATAGGATGAAGACATGAAACAGGCAGGATGAAGAATAGTCTCATGAGACAGATAGGATGAAGAATAGTCTCATGAGACAGATAGGATGAAGAATAGTCTCATGAGACAGATAGGATGAAGAATAGTCTCATTGGACAGACAGGATGAAGAATACTCTCAAGGAGACAGACAGGATGAAGAATATTGGTCAGATGGGATGAGACAGATAGGATGAAGAATAGTCATCAGACAAATAGGATGAAGACATGAAACAGGCAGGATGAAGAATAGTCTCATGAGACAGAGGATGAAGAATAGTCTCATTGGACAGACAGGATGAAGAATACTCATGAGAAACAGGATGAAGAATACTCTCATT